GATGGGAAATGTGTGGTTGAAAAAGAAGATAAGATTATTGATGTGATAAAAATATTATTTTATTAAAGAATGTGTGGTTGAAAATGAGAATTGATTTACTGTTGAAAATGAGAATTTTTACCAAACATAGCCTATATAACCATCCATTTAATGAACACGATCAAATTAGGCGGACTTATCTAAAGGTGGGACGTTATCAGCCAAGACTTTTGGAGTATCAGAACAAAGAATGTGGAAAGCAGAAATTCTAATCTATAATAGGTAATATTATATTGCAATTTTTTTTTTTTGTTAAATAAGAATTTTATTCGTACATTAAAATTTTAAATTATTTTGTCCCTTGTAACGTTAATTCTTAGCTACGCCCTTGGTCTTGAACAACCGTGCTAAAGTATCTGTGTCTTCATTCGATACCAAACCACAACCATGTATTGTCAATTGTCAATGATGATTTATGTCAACAAAACGAGCGACTAGTATGTCGTACTTATTAGTGAGATAAGTGGTATTATTTGCCCAAAGTATATTTCTCAGTTGCGACTCATCGTCCAAATCAATACTAAAGTAAAATCCCGAGCATAGTGCATGCATTTTTGAAAAGTAGGATTGAATTGCTACATCATCTCCTTCTCCAAGTCGTAATTTCCTCATTCATTCTATTTTCAATACAAGTCATGTTCTCATATCCACCTGTTTCTACAACTGCAGAATTGTAACTTTTATGCAACGAAATTCTTGCCAAATCATTCACCTGAAGCTTCCGTTTTACAACTGCACTCAATTGTCTGTTGCTTCGATATAACCTGGATTTAGAAGGACTTGTTTCATGATTATGGTTAAGGTTTACCACGTTAATTCTCCAGTTTCCAAGAATATCAGAAGATGTAGGTATCCTGGCTTTACAACCCATCTTAACTCTTGGTTGCGGTTTCAAAGAACCTCTACTATTACCGATTGTTCCACCTTTACGGCTACATGTCAACATTACATATCTCAAAATTCCACCGTCTTCCTTTTTCGAATTTCTTTTCTTAACTAGAAAACCCACTATGTAAGCATATTTTTTGTAGAATTCATATATATATATATTATTTTTAAACAACATTCCCACCTCGGGTACAATTACACTATCTCCGCTTGATGTTTCACTAAACACTACATTCATGGACTCCGTAACATTCTCATTTTCAGATTGCACTAAAACATCGTCATGCTTGTCTTGCACGTTGTCCATAATTTATTCTACTATGAAATAAAAAATGGCCATGTTAAGTCAACGTATAGAACAATTATCATTTCATTTGGTATGATTTTCAAATAATACTTATGAATTCAATAGTATGATCTAACTGTATGTATTCCAATATGTTATGTAGGCTAAGGTACATGAATACAATCTATTCAATATTTATAGGTGCAAATGAAGTCTTCCAGTTACATTAGATCGATACATAGGAATAATTCTGGGTGAAGAATTACAAGTACAAAATTACATAGGAATATGTTATGTAACATAAGGTGCAAAAAAATGAAATCTTCCAGATGCAATGAAGCACACAGAAATTATACATTGAACCCCCCAAAAATTGATTTGTAGTGATCATACCTTCATATGTATTGGCTGGGATTCTGATCCTCAACTAAAAAAAATTCTGATTTCTGCGAGTTTCTGAAATGGGCAAAAATCCTAGCTCTTCACTTTTATCGAAGACGTGCAGGTCTTGTACGTTCGCTGGAATTCGCCGAAAATCTTAGCTCTTCACTCTTTTTGGAGACATGCGGGTCTTGTACGTTCGCTGAATTTCGCCAAAATGGTCGGGAATATTGTTGTCGGAGTTCAAAATCTAGTTGCCGGAGCTAGGATTATGCTGCAGCCCTTAGGTTTTCCAATTTGGGGGAAACTCGTTTTCTAAGAAAGAGGAAGTAGGAGTACTGTGTCGTTTTCTAAAAAAGAGGAAAGGGGAGTGCCGTGTAAATTGGGTTTCCCTTCCAGGTCCACTAGGCCGTGTTGTGTAAATTGTGTTTCCTTCCAAAAAAACCTTTGACACGTCATTTATTATAAAACCCTGTTTTTAGTCAGTTCATGAGTCTATCCGAGTAGTATTATTCTTACACAAAATGCCCATGTTGGACATCTATTAAATAATTTTTTTCTTAAATTCAATTTTAATCACATATTTACAAATAAAATATTTTGCACGTAAATTCATTTTTTTTTAATCACATTTTTTTTTT